TTTTGTGTCTTGAGTAGATGTTGTAATAAGCGCATAATGCGTAAGTCGATTCTGAGAGATGTTAAAGATTTAGTTGAGGTAGATTAGATTTTACAGAATTTTAAATATATAATATTTACTATGAATAGAAATTAAGTTGCGCTTGTTTTGCTTGTGGCTCTATTAACTATCTTTATTCGATTTTATATTCTATTCCATGCACTTATCACACTCATTAATCTATTGGTGCTTTAGAGCTCTTCTTCAGTACCAAAACCCATTGACTTTTTCATATTCATATTTTAGCGCCTTCTTTTGTGCTTTTCCATGAATATTCTTCAAATATGATATATTCGTTTATAATAGCATATAAATCTTATACAAACATTTTTTTGCCATATCAAATATTTTTAACTATGATTTATATTATAATTTATACTATAAAATATGACACATTGATATGAGACAGGCCTCATAAAGATATGTAGCTGCAGCTGTTCAGTTTACTTTAGAGTGAGATCTTATGTAGAAGCTGAAGCTGTAACTGCAGACCTTCTGACAGCTTCGCTGTTTAGCTAGACTTGATTAACTCAGCTTCTATGTACAAAATTTAGGCAAGTTTGGAAAGTCAGAACTAACAAATGAATCTGATAAACCCAGTTAAAGAGTAGAGGCCCATAGCAGGCAATTGACCCAGCTACTTGACATTCTTTGGTAGCATTAAAAACTACAGCAGTTGGGCAACTCAATGAACTTAATTGACAAAATACAATATAAATTATTAATTGTAAATACAAATAATAATAAAAACTCTCTCCAAATGCTTTTCAAGCTGCATGCCACTACCAAGCTGCATAGTTCACTAGTCTTTCTGTTTATCTCTGATATATATTGCCTAAAATGCATATTACACTATATTATATAAACCACATTTGACATGATTTTATGTATTATTTTTCTAGAATATTTTAGATTTAATAAATCTATATAAACATATTTATATATATTAACAATTTCTCTCTAATATATATCTAACCTGTAACCCAACATATATATCTACATCTATATATCTATTTATCTGCTCTAACATTTAATATTTCTCTAACAGTTTTTATGCCTCCCAAGCTGACTCATGGTAAAGCCCGCAATTTCCATTGCTCATATTAAATTGTATAGAATTCGCCCTAAGTGACGCTTTGAAACATATTGAAGACAAATTGCTAAGCGTAAAGCCCAAGTCAAGATCGTTCAGATGCCAAGCTAATTATAACTTATAGCATAGTTCTCAATTAGAGAAAACATGCTGAAGTTGTTTTTGTGTTTTTTTTTATTTGTTTCTCAATTCTTTTATATTTTTAGAGGCGTTAACAACTTTTTAGCTTTTGAGTTTTTTTTTTGTATTTCTAAATTTTTTTTATAATTTCCTCGTGAATTATTAATGAAAAATCATTTATTGAAATATGTATATTTTATAGTTGCTTTGCACACATTCGACATTTAAGCGCTTCAGTATTTATGCCTTTTCTACAGCTCGACAGCAACAAAAAATAATAGGAAAAAGAAAAAGAACAACTTTTTTTATTGAATATTCATAAGCTGCGCTTTGTGGCGTCATATGTATAGAGAAAGAGACAGAGAGGGGGCGGGGGCAGAGAGATAGAGGGGGCTAGCTACACAACTGGGGCGGGTCGAGATCGATGATGTCAAGTCAGAAAAGGGTCTTAAGCCCGGATCTATTGTTGTCCAGTTGCGGCTTAGAACTGTTGACATTTGATTTGAAGCCGCGTTGTAAGCGCTGCTGTTGCTGCTGCGGCTTTTTCTCTAAGATCTCCCGCTGTGCATATTGACAGTTATTAAAGGCCACGCGATCTATACTAAAGCAAAGCCAAGCATTTATTTAGGCTCATGCGCTCATCTGCTTTCGATTTGGTTTCAAGCTTTGGTTTTGCCTATTTACGTGGGCCTAGTTCAATTATTGGCTAAGCCGTCGAAGCCTGCCCACAAAAATGTCGAATTTTGAAATTTTTATTTAAAATTTATAACACATTTTAGCCTTTTATGCGGCGGTCCAATAAGCGTCAGCACCTTGTCTAATTTGCTATGGTAATGAAAATTATGTTTATGGACAAAGCCATGCAAAATCCGAAAACCAAACCGAACATATATATAGAAAATGTTAAAAATTGTAAGCATAAATCATGCTTGCTCGATCTGCCAACTCATGGCTGTCTCTGGTACAATATTTACAATTTCGGAAACATTATATTCCATTGAATCCTGTGGGTGGCTCAGCACTTGCGTCAGAGTTCACACAAAGCACACAGCGGGTGGTTGTTAAGAAAAAGCAGCCGATGATGTGACTGACTGGGAAATACCATGTACTGAGCATACAATCATAGGAGCTAACTTCTTTGTGTATGTATATATTTGAAAAGTGATATATTCCTAAGCTGTGTATAAACTTAAGTCAACTATATATTAAATTTGATATCTCTAACTTTTCAAGTCTTCGAGATATGCTAAAAAACTAATTTTAATAAATGGTATTTAAGGATATTTTAAAAATGGGAGCAGATATCTTAAGATGCGCTAATAATTTGAAATATACAAGACTAAATTTATGAAATTTTAAGCATCTAGCTATACTTGCTACTGGGAACTACATGAGGTATAGTAATATTAAGACATATTTCAGAAATGTGAGTATGTATATATATGTATATATAGTCTAACTTTTTGTAGGACATAAGAGCATATGTATATCTAATCACAAGACTCCAGCCTTAATAGTTTCTGAGTTCCACCTAGGATAAATCCATATATATCATTTATACTAGTACTCAGCGTAGTTATTCAAAAAAGATATATTACTAGCTCTATCTATGACACGCTAGAATATGTATCTAAAATGTGTAATCTCCAACTTTAGTAGTTCTCGAGATATGTACATCCAAACAGAGCATGATTAGATCTAATAAACTCAACTACATAATCATATTTACAATTACATAGACGTAGCCTGCTTTGCCCACAACCTGCACACCCTCTTTTAGCTCACTTTCAATGGGCATTTTTGAACACAATTTTTATAAGCCTGAGTTACGGCAAATCTTTGGCTTCGAAATCGATTAAACGCTTCGCAGTCCCAAAAAAAATCAAGTATACAAATGAAAATACTTTGTTGGCCATGTTTTGAATGAACAGATTTGAATTTGAGCGACGTCATGAGCCTGGGCCACAAAAGATTTAGAAATTAAAAACGTTAACTAATGATAAACGCGCCTATGATACAGAGACCCCAACTGCAACAACGGCTGCCCCCCTGCCCCATCTCCTTTTTAGAGCCACATAATTCGAGTGTGTGGGCTTGGGACATGGTCGTCAATCTGATATACAAAAATCCGTTTGCCATATCGGCGAGCATGTTGCACCCCATGGCGCGATTTGTGTGCTTTTAATATTCACCGACTCGCGGGGCTCGTCGCTCGATGCTGTGGCTGCGGCTGCGGCTGCGGCTGCGGCTGTGGCTGTGGCTCTGGCTGTCGTCTGTCTGTTTTGAAAACTCATCGTTTTCGAAAAGTTATTAGTACGGTTTGTCCAGACAGTTGATGGCTTTGAATAGACACCATGGGCATTGTTTTTAGATCCAACAGCCACCTCCCCCAGACCCTGCCTGGCCTCTTGCTATTTCCATACACAACTAACGCCGCCTGTTGCGTCCCAGCGGGTTTTTAGTTCAATATCTATTCAGCACGTTTTCTAGGTCAATCGAAAGGTTTTTACATGTGCATCAATTAAAACAGCTATAAGCCAAGATCTCTATATATCTGGCAATGCGTGGGTGTCTTTTTCTAAACAATATGATTGAAAATTAAAAAATAGTTGAGAAATCACTTTGTGGGCTTAAGTGTTTAAGACTCTTCGATAATGCCTATGTCTAGCTAACACTTGGACTGGGGAGCAATACATTTGGAACATATTTTCAATATTTTTACTGTATACATCAGTTTTATCTGTCTATTGAGCTTACCGAATATTTAGATTAGATCAATTCAGCTTAAGTTTCTGAGCAACTGTTGCTGCTGCATGGGACGATGAGCTGTATAAGCGGCTCAGACATAGCAGAAAGTGCAGCAGCTGCTAAATGTTTGAATGTATATAGTATATATATCATATATATATGTATATAGTATATATATCATATATATATAAATTTAATTATCGCAAACGAATGCTTATGATTTTCTGGCATAAATTCAGTAAAAATTCTAAATCCTATGAGATAAATAAACAATTTTGTTGAAAGTAGATTCTGAAAAATTTTAACATTTTGCAGCTCTCAGCTTTCGATCAATTTCAATTTAAATTTAATCTAAAAATATTTAAGAAAACTCAACGAATTTATTATTTAAAGAAGTTTAATCTATATAAACCTAGGCCATTTAGCTCAGCTGTATTTTTTACAATTTTTAAAATGCATTTTTAATATTTTAAATATGATAAATAGTTCTGGCACCCAGAATAGCTACATACAGAATAGTTACAATAGCTACAAATGATCAATCCTTGGAACATAAAACAGAGCTAAGTTGCATATAAAAAACCTCCTAACTCATATCATATCATAACATATCAACAGAAAACGCTTCTATTGATACTTAGTCAATATGAAAAGGAATATATTATACTAATCACTAAAGTTGCATAAGATCAAATAGGATCAACAGCTATAGAGCTTTAATGAGAGCTGTATTCTGAGCTATTAAACTAAGTAGACCACAAAGAAATCATTGTATTACCTATATAAATATATGCTTAAAATATTAACGATACATATCAAAGACAATGTTATATGTTATAAATCTCTTCAGATAGTTACAGTAATAATACTTTTAGCACTCGAAAAGCTCCTAAATATGTCTGTTATATAACACATTCTTCATATTAAAAGTTTCCTTGATATATGAATGCACTTAAAATAACTGAAGTTCCCTTAGTTTTCCCTTCGACTTATAGCTTACCTTCATTTTAATTGCCTCCACAATTTTGGCGATTTTTAATCCAAGTCTTTTGCACAAAAAATTGTTATTTAGCCAGCTTTTTGTTGTTGTTTTTTAGTATTCTTTGGACGATCTATGTAGATCGAAATGTTTTCGACGACTTGATCAGTTGGTCAAGCGTCCGGCAATTGACACCAGATGCATGCGAATTGATTGCATAAGTGATAGCGAGACAATAAATGCGAGTGTGTGTGCCTCTGTGTGTGTATGTGATAATGGGTTTGAGAATTTTGCAATAATTTCTAACACTTTTTTTCTTGCGATTGATTAACACATTTGAAATTTTGAAAAATTGTTCACTGGTTTCAGATATTTGTTTTCCTTTTACTTTTCAAATTGTATTTCAAATTGAAATTAATAAATTTTTTGTTTAGGTTTTTTTTTGCCGACGCTAAAAAGTAGCAGCGGGCTGCTTATCAGACGGCGCGAACGCGTGGCGCGATAACAGACGCCAATTTGGACTTGCGATATTGTAATGTAACTCCGGCTCTCAGACGAGTTGTTATTGTTGTTGCTGCTGCTGTTGTGGTTGTTGCTGTGGTAGCTGCTGTTGCTGTTAACGGACAACGACCAGCGGCTGCGACGGCTCACGAGCGACACGTTGTTACAGCTGCGAGGCCAGTGCATAAACTGCCGGCGCTCTAGCCACATAAGCCATGGCACAGCATGGATGTGACGACGACGACGACCCGGTTTCGAGAGTGGTAGCAGCATAAAGCAAACACACACACAGAGAGACACTCACTCACACGCACACACTGAAGCACCACCACCACCGCCGGTTGCAAAAACTCGCTCAACTGGTTTTTGGTTTTCGCTTGCCTCTTGATTGGTTGCCATGGCGGCCGCTCAAACGGCCACGCCCCTCGCACTAGCTGAGCACGCGTGGAACGGGTTTCGCCCAACGTCCCCCATTTTGAGTGGAATCGTCAAGCCCGAACCGGGCCAATTGAGTGCGCCGGCGCGTGCCACAGCTCTCAATTGAGTTGGATTTGAATTTTGAGCAGGGTTTCTTCATTCCGTTGAGCGTGTGCCGTTGCCAGCCATTGGGTGGGTGTTGGATGCTGGCCACGCTTCAATGCAGCGGAAGCAGCGTTGAGCAGCGGCAGCAGCGCACTTGACTTTTTTGGGGTCAAACCGCTTGACGGCGGCACCCGAAAAAGCCAGCAAAAGTTCACACTTTTTCCCAGCACATTTTCTCGTCGTGTCAAGTGCCGGAAGTGCCTACAACCTGCGAGTTAGCCATTTAAATTTCAACATTAAGCGACACACATATGCCGAAAACAAAAGAAGACCCAATCGAGAGCAGCTCTAGATAATTTATAGGGTAGACAAGCTTCAAGCTAGATTGACATTGAGAGAAGCCTTCCGAGCAGCAGCAGCTGCTACTTAGATATCTGCCTTGTAATTATAAAATAATTTATATAGTATAAATACTCATTAACGAGAACAACTTGTTCGTAATAGATAATGGCAAGTGAGTTGTTGTAAAAAATAGTTATTCATTTGCTATTAGAGCTTCATGGGAAAAGGCGAGTAGAAGAGTTGCTTACCTTGTATGCAGATAGCATAAACTTTTACTCATATATAATAGACATGTATGCCTAGTTATGCTAGTTGACTAACATTTCAATAAAAATAAAATTTTTATTCTAATTTGCCATAAATTTCTGCTCAGAAGTGAATCGAATAAGATTTTTCAAAAGATTTATATGAATATATAAAATGAAAAAAACTTAATCTAATTACTTAATTACTAACATATATAAAACGTTAATGAAATTGTCTAATATGAACTTTAACTAAACTAAACATGGTATACATATATGGTAGCTAACTATTTAAGAACTATGTATGATAATTTATATCAGATACTACTTCAATATAAACATATAACAATGTATGTGTATCTTATATATGCATGGGGATTACATGGCTAGAAATATAGATTTATTTAAAATATTAAAAATTTATCGAATCTATTTTATTTATCATTAAAATGATTTGCATGACTAGAAAAATAGATTTATTTAAAATATTAAAAATTTTTAAACTCTATTTTAAATGATTTTAATAAATTAAAATATTTATTTAAAATTTCTAAATTTATTTAATTTTAATAAATTAAAATATTTATTTAAAATTTCTACATTTTTTTAATGACTATATTTTATTATATTATTATATTAATATAGTATTACACTATTATTTTAATATTTCTAATAATTTCTTTAACGTCTTTAAAAAATATTTTTTATAAATTTTTTTACTATTTCAAGATTTATTCATATAGCGCTAATAAAAATGAATTTTTGAAGAACACTTAAAACCCTTCACCAATATTTTCTAAACAAATTATATTAAAATTAAATAAAATTTAAAAAGTTCTTCAATGTTCTATATATAACTATAATACAACTTTACAAAATCTCTTCAGTATATTCCCAAAAGTATGTAAGTCCCTCACAATACGCTAGTCTACATAAGTATGTATACAGTCAAGTGCTTAGACAACTTCAGCTACAGCTTAGCCCAGCTTTATGCGTTATTCTGCTTAATATTCTCTGCTATGCAAACTATCAAAAGCAGTGCATACAATAGCTGAGCATACTCTGACCTCTTACGGCACTTTGTACACAAGTTTACTAAATGACATTCGTTGATTTATAGCTACATTTGATTAATATATTACGAGCCATTGATATGCAACAACAACTGCCACAGCTTCCATTCCATAGGCTTGTAGAGTTCATTAAACACTTTAGACTTTATACTAGCAGCGCCTCAAGCACTTTAAGCAGCTCTCGCACATAGACTGGCTCTGTCTCTGTCTCTGTCGCTGTGTACATTCCCAACTCTCTCTCACACACTCTGCTTGGCACTTAAAGCCGCTTCGCATTCAATTGGCATTTTGCTGTCGCCATCATCGCCATCATCAGCCTCTGAACTCTGAACGCCCCTCACTTGACACGCCCCCGCTGCTCTGTACCGCATGCGATCCACCTTCATGTTGAGTTTCACGTTATTTAAGGATTATCATCATTTTATGCTGCCTCGCAATGCCTTTTTGCAGGATTAAATGCTGAATGTCTGACAGCCTTTGCCTGCTCGCTTCGTCTCCCTCTCCCTCACCCTCTCTCTCAGTCTATTTATCGCACTTTTTGAATTGATTGCATTGCACTTTTTTGCGAAGCTGCTGCTGTTGTTGTTGTTGTTGTTGCATAGTTTGCACTGCTGCTGCCACGCCTTCATGTCGCTGCCGCCCCCTCTGCGCCCTTAAGTCCCAACTACAAAGTGATTTTTATGGCTTTTCGCTGCAAGCGAATGCATGTGTGTATGCAAATGTTTGACTACATGCATGCATGAGTGTGTAAGTGTGTGTGTGTCTGTGTGCACTTTGATGTCTCCGCATTATACAAAAAAAAGGCGGCACTTTAATGCTGCCCATATATCACGAGCGCAAAGCTTGACAGCGACGTCAGCTCATAGAAAGCTTTAACACGCATACGCCCCGTGGGGCGATGCATACATCTAGATAGAAAGATAGCCCAAGAGTGAGAGAGAGAGAGCGAAGCAGGGGCAAGATGCTGCGCTTGGCTTAACCTTTCACTGGCTTATCCTTTGGGCCATCTGCGTGTACGACGCCGCACACAAATAACTTCATCTCGGGCCCAAAACCAAATTGATTAACAGTAGCCCCGCGCGGTCGCAGCGCCGCTCTCTTGGCTGTCAACGCTTCCCGGAATGCCTTCCATTTACATGCCATAATTTTTAAATGTCAACGGTTTACAAAAGCGCTGACCATTTGATTTTGACCGCAACAGCAGCAGCCGTCGCCCTACACACACTCTCCCCCTCTCCCTCTCCCTCTCTCTCTCTCTGTCTGTTTGAAAACAGGTTGATATCTACCTGTGCTGCAATCGAACCCTAAATATACTCATATCCCTTTTCATATACATTTCTCTTAGACCATATTATATTTATTTGACTCTTTATTGAGCTGCAACCTGTCGCTGCTTGGGTTTTGGCCCTCTCTTGGCAGATTTATGGTTGACCCCGAATGTGGTCCGTCTACTCCAACTTGATCGCCCTAAGCAGATACGAAAATGTAACCTTAAACGAAATTTCAGGGTAATTTGTTGAAGAAGAAGAACTAACTGTTGGTGGCATATCTATATATATATATATATATATATATATAACTCATATATTGTCTTTGACTTTTGAGTTTCTTCTCCCTTTTGTGGTTCAATCGCGCGTGTTATGAAGACGTCAAGGATCCTGTGAAATGTTGTAGCGATCTTATCATAGTATCTATAGCGTATATCGGCCATATATTGTCTTCAGCTCAGGTCTGTTCATAAATTCCCCTACAAGTTCTTACCCTAGCTTGCTTTGCATACGCATATCAACATTTATCTCTTTGTTTTTAGTTTTATTTTTTTGTTTCTATTTGCTTGACCTGTTTTTATATGCTCAATGTTAACATGTGCCCCAAAGTGGACTTCATAAATGGCCGAGCCGCTCATAACCTTGAGGGACGTCCAATGCGTTTTCATAAGCAATAAATCATAAAGGCAATTGTCCTGTTTACTCAGCTATAATTTATGAACTTAACCGTAAGCGTGCCCCATTACAGTGTCTGTACTTACGGCTGAGCAGCTTGTTGGTCCTTTAAGGGTTGATGGACTTGATACTTATTTGCTCAGCTCCAATTGTAATAGTTACAATGTTTTGCTGTGAAAATGTAGTACGTTTTCTGAGTTGCAAGAGCTACTCTTATATTTAACATCCTAACATGCTAAAAATGGGATCTGTGTGGAATGATTTGATTAAAAAATTTTAATATTTGAAAATATTTTCAATAAAATCAAATTTTTTTCCAACTTAATTTTTTAATTTTTTTTTAAATCTTTTTCAAAAATAAAATATTGAAAAAAATAAATATGGTAAACCTAGTTTTAAAGTAAACCAGGCATTCTTATCCTTACCATACTCGCCCTATTCTGCCTTTATCGACCAAGTTTATATATACGGAGTCTGTTTAATTAGTAAAGCGAATTTTGTGCTTTTTTTTTAATTTTATATATCTATTTTGTGCCCATCAAAATAATCTCCATCATATTATAAACTTGAGCCAACTTTTTTCCAATCCTTGAAGCAATTCAAAAACTTATTTTCTGTGATTTTTTTTGTTCAGCTGCGCCGTCTTTATCCTCTCCTGTCTGTGCCTTCCTTCTTGTCCTTTGATGATTCTCTACCGCTTAGGAAACAAAGTGCAGCAGGTCTGGGGAATACACTACCTGTGACATCATTAGGGCAACTTGATAGAGATTTTGCTTCAAACTAAAATTAGCTTAGAATTAAAAATATCCGAACTTGTTGCAATAAGTCAGATAGCTGACTTATAACTCTACTGAAGAATTCTAAGTAGAAAATCGAATATGCTGAAATATATAAGCCGAGAAAATGTAGCTATTCGCTATACTTTTTGAGCACACCTCGTATGTGCAGTCAGCTTTTAAGCTCGAATGGAAATCATTTCTCATATGTTTTTTGTTTTTTGCCTTATACATTATGTATATATATATTTGTAATAACTCTCTAGTGTATATATAAATTAAAATAAATAAATACATTTTATTTATTTTGTTGTTTTTTTTTTTGTGTTTTTTTTTTCTTCTTTTTCTTTTGTATCATCATAATTATCAATATCGTAATTCTCGTCGGTAAAAACTCCGTTTGTCTTTATCTCATTTTTATCAATATTACGAGTACTTTGCGTGCTGTTTGTTCGAGTTGTTGTTGTATAATTATAATTACGATGCGTTTTATCATTAGATTAATCATGATGTAATAATAATATTGTATAACATATTACCCCTCAAGGGTTTTATATTTTTGTTTTTGTTTTTGTTTTTGTTTTCTTTCTTTATTTCCCATATTCTATGCCTAATCTTGTTACTGGTTATCCTTGCGCTCCCCTTCGCCCTCGTCACTCCCACTCTTAACGACAACCTCAACTTTACTCTCAACATTATTTTTTATTATAACAAACAGAGCAGTTAACAAAGAATTGCACAACAGGAGCAAATTGTTCGATTTTTCTGGTTTTACCCTTCTGGAACACCCCTCCAACTCTAGCTAAACTCTAACCGACTGTCTAACTATCTGGTTTACGGGACTAGCCAACAAAGCGTTTTCTGTTTTCTCTTTTCTGTCTATGTTTTCCTCTTCAATACTCGTTCACAATGTGCAAAGGGAGTATATTGGTTTTGCTGTTGCTTTCGCCACTTTCTCTTGAGCAGTTTTTCACTAACTTATTTGGTACGTTTGTTTATAATATCTCGTATTGCCTTTATATATATATATAGTATATATATATATATATCTATTACTATGTATAATAAATGGTTATGTAAGCATTTAAATCTGTTTAGCGCACTTTCTGAAAGCTATTCTTATTCTGTTATTTATTAGGTGTCTGCGTGTGAGTTTCATAAGAATTGCAATGCATGAACCGAAAGAAAAGTATGAGAAATCAAATGGAAATCTCTGATAAATGGGCTTTGCCTAGGCGCATGCTGGAAGTACTCTATGCACAGGTTAATATTCTAAAATATTTCCAGCATATTTCTGGCAACTCGTTTAGTTCAAAGTCCTAAGCTACTTAAATGCTAAAAGTTTAGTCGCGTTTAGGTTTTGTTTTTTTCTTTTTTTTTTTTTGTAAATTATTGTTATGTACATTTAGACATATAGTTTTTTTCAGTGTTTTTTTTTTCGAGTTATCCAATACAAAATTTTCGAGCTTCGGTTTCGTTGTACAAAAATCAGGCAAACAAAAAAAAACTAAAAATCAGAAATAAAATTGAAGCAACCAAAATACCAAACGCAACTTGAACTAATCAAATTTTATTTTTTTGTTTTGTTTTGTTTTGTTTTTTTATTTAGTTTTTCTTGTTTGTTTTTCAGTTACCTATATGTATTATATATTTAAATGGTAATTTATACGCTAAGCTAATTATTTTGTTTAACAATAAATGTATAGCTGCTTGGCTCTTACGTACCGCAAATTTACTTTCTCATTTCTCAATTTTAATGTTTCTTATTTTGTTTCTTCTATATATATTTTATTTCAATATTCTTTATTTCACTTACGTTTAAATAACGAAAAAATTAAAGATTTATTTGCAGCTTCTTTGCCATAAGGAACAGAAATTATAATCAAAAAAAATTAAACATAAAGAATTCAATTCTAAATATAATAAGGAAAATTTCAAAAATTAAATAAAAATGTTTCACAAAAAATTATATCATCAGATTAGTTGTAATAGTTATATATATATATAAATATATATATATGTGTGTATGAATATATATATATATGTAAATTTATTCAATAACAAAATTATATTGATTTTGAAACAGATTAGATGTTGTTCTTCTTGATGTTGTTTTTTTCGAGAGTTTCTGAGATTAACTCGCAGAGCTTTACAAATTACAAATTTTGCAGTACAAAACAAGTATATATATATATATATATATAGTACAAGCCACGCCCACAGCAACAGAAATATGAAAACAGAAAATGACAGCAGTCGTCAGTTCGAGCCAAGTTGTTGGTTGTAGCGTGTCCAAGTCGTCGGTCATGTCCAGTTTGAGTTGTTTCTGCTTTTGCTTTACTTTTGGTTGAGATTTCTAAGATAATTAAAACGCATTCAATTAAACACACCAAAGCAAGAGGACATATCAATTTCAGATATATATAAGTATATATAGTATAGCAACTGTGTACGATCGGACCAAAAGCTGTCAGTCTTTAGGCAATAGCAATCATATAGTATTCTCTAGTTAAGTATAGTTGGTTGTTCTTTGTCAGGATCGTTTCGTTCTAGCGTGGCTGTCGATGTGTTCAATTATTGCTTCTTCGGTACTCGACTTATATATATATCTATATATATATTTACTGTTTTTAAAGACTATTTTTAATGGCACAAAATATACAGCTATTCTTGTTGTTGTTTTTGTTGTTGTTATTATTGTAGCTAAAGCATAATTTCTTAACTAGAGCTAGTTTGCTTTTTCACGTATTTGTTTTATTTTTCTTTTATTTTCTTGTTGTCTGCGGAAGTTTAACAATTGTTTAACACTTTGTTGCATTAAGCTTGCAGTCCCGTTAGCTGCTGCACCCTCCCATCTCAGTCTGCTCTGTTTCTGCTTCTGTTTCTGCTTCTGCTGCTGCCCTTTGCTGCTATGCTCTGTTACATCATTTTCATCTACTTCATCAACAGCGTTCTTCACTCTTTCACTTTTCGTTTCATTCGGTTTTCTTTCTGTTGGTTTTTGTTTTTCTTTTTTTTTTTGTCAACTACATTATGTTCCACTAGATTAGGTTGCTATTTATATTTATCTTAGGTATGCCGTTATGTTTATGTAGTTCTTCTATTTCCTCTCTTCGTTCATGTTGTTATCTCTCTTTATCCGCCAGTTGTTCAGATTTAGCAGCTGGCAGATTTACCGCGGACGCGAACCTTTGTAGTTCGGATTGGGATGACGACTTGGATGACGTGGAGGTGCTGCAAAGAGGTGAGAGAAATTCGTTGATTAAATTTGAATATAGATTAGATTTAGATCTCCTTGTTAATAAGCTAACTTGCTTGCCCCAGTCGATGCCCAATTTTGATTCACTGCTGCACTCGACTTGTTTCTCACCTTGTATCATCATTGTGGCGGGATACATGCCAGTTACCTGGGCCATTTGCGGTCGGATATCGCTAGAGGGCGAACGTCGACTGTTGGGCAAGGCCACCGAGGGCTGCAGACATTGAGAGACAGAGGGAGGAAAGATAAGTATACAACATTCCTTATGTATATTCAGAGTACACTCACGTGCGCAAAGTACGTCTGGCCATACTTGATGTAGACACTAGACGCGCCATTCGGATTGTAGCCACCGAGGGCAGCCACGCCGCTGAGCACCGCTGTAGCCTGTTGGCTGTTGGCTGCTGCTGCTGCCGCCGCCGCTGCTGCCGGATGGTGCAGCTGGGCTGGAATGTGCGAGGCACGCGGTCCGGCACCGCTGCCGCCGCCAGCATTGCCGCCGCCGCTGAGATAGAGAGATGGCGGCGAGGCGTTCATAGCGGCGCCCGTCGAATGATCCACCACAATGTACTGGGTGCCCAGGCTGGTGGGTGGTGCATTTGTGGCATTGGGCGTATTGGCGGCGCTGCTGGTGTTGTTGCTGCTGCTGCCACCACCGCCGCCTGCAATACTGTTGGGCGAGTTGTTGCTGCTCTCGTGGCTGCCGCCACCGTTGTTGCCATTGGCGCTCGGCGAATTGCGCTGCGAGACGCTGCGTCTGAAGTCCGCATTGATAGACTTTTGACTACGGAAACTGGCCGCAGCCGCATTCAGACGCACTGGCGGCTTCGTCTCGTAGCTAATGCCGCCTCCTCCTCCAGCTGGACTGCTTGTCGATGGGGCATAGCTGGGCGGTGGTCCGCTGATCAGGGGCAGCTGCGTGGGCTTATTCTCGCGTTTTCCCAGTCCATGTGGCGGTCCACGATGCGCGGCATGATGATAGCTCGACGATGTCGACGGTCCACCCAGGGTAATGCTGCTCGGAGAAGCACGCGGCGTCGGTTCGTTATTGGAGTTGAGCAGCGGCGTCTTGGCGCCCGTTGGCATGCCGCCCAGCGGCAACGAGTGACGCGGATTGTAGCCACCCGGATGGTAGGGCTTGCGACCGATGCTGGGCGTATTCGAGCCCAAGCCACTTGCATTGTTGTTGCGCTTCTCGTAGGGTGTGCCATAGCCGCCGTCGTTGCTGCTCTGGCTGTGATAGTAGTGGGACGCGGTGCTGTTGCTATGATAGCCCGATCCGCCAGCTCCCGAGATGCCACCACCATTGCTGTTGGCGCTGCCCCCAACATTTGGCGCGGGTGGTGTGCTGAACAGTGGTGCCTGACGACCAGGCGCTGCTGGCGTGCTCGGCGCCGATTGAGAGGCGGCCACATCCATGGCACCGCTGGCTGCCGAGTAGAATGGTGTGGCTGTGATGAGAGCATGATGTGGTGCCGTGTGCTGAGCCGCTGACGGTGGCGGTGGTGGCTGCTGCTGCTGTTGCTGCTGCTGCTGGAGCACCGCATTATGCGGTCCCGCCTGCTGTGTGCCTGCCTGACCGGCTGCATAGGGGAATATGTTGGTTGGTATCAGCGCCGTGGCATGCTGAGCAGGCACCGTATACACATGAGCACCGGCAGCGGCCGCAGCAGCCGCAGCAGCATTGAGATCTGTGTTGGCCCCCGCGCCGCCATGTGCCAGCGCTAGCGTGGGCAGCGCATGATATGTCGTTGTGCTGGCGCCGGGCGTCGTGGCGATTAGCTGTGTGGAGCCGGCGCCTGGATGGTGTGCAGCATTGGCATGGCCAGCTGCCGTCGCTGCTGACGGATAGCTGACATTGTAGTGTATGGAGCCGCCGCCAGGCGTACGCTTAACACGTCCACCACCCCCCATATAGCCACCGCTGTTGTTGCCACCGCCACTGGTGATGAGGTGACCGTTGGTGGACTGTTGGCCGCCAGCTACCGTGGGCGGACCAGCCGCTGTGGCAGTTGCGAGATTCAGTTGAGCTGCGGCCTGTGCCTGAGCCTGAGCCTGCACCGATGTTTGACCAGTGGCCGGCGGCTGGCCAGCTGCTGCAGTTGCCACCATGGGCGTGGCCGTGACTGCCTGCTGGGGTAGGGCATAGTAGGGTATGGTATGATAATAATGATACGGATAGCCAATGGGATACGTGGCCATGGGCAGCTGCTGCAGCGGTGCACCAGACGGATCGCTGGAGTAGATCAACGGCCCCTGATAGATGGGCGCACCATTAGGAGCGGCGGCAGCAAACTGTGCTGCCGGATAGGTGGCGGTGGCCATTGGCATCACAGCTGTAGCAGGACCAGCCGGCGTCTGGTATATGGCCTGGGCGGGTATAATGCCGTCGCGCTGCTGCTGTGCCGGATCGAAGACAGGTATCATGTAGGTGCCGCCGGGCAGCTCGCCAGCCTCCTGTGGAGCGAATATCGCCTGCGTTGGCTGACCGCTGCTCGTCAGCTGGAAGAGCGGCTGCGAGGCAGCACCACTAACCGTTGGCTGTGGATACGCTGCATACACCATGCCCTGGGGCACAGCATAGATGTTGCCATCGGGCTGTAAATATGACAAAGGCATTCATCTCAAGAGTTAGCTCAATTAACTAAAGCCTACTCACCCCTTGCTGATATGTGGTGGCGCAATAGGGCGCCGCGCCATTGGGCGTGGTAGTGGTATGAAAGACGGTGGAACCATCTGCTGCCTGATAGCTTTGCGTATAAGTCCAGCTTGTCGTCTTGGGCTCCTCGGCAACTACCTGAGCTTGGCTCTGGCTGGCTGGTTTCATCTCGCACTGGCTGTAGGGCGTGGTGCTGGGCGACAGCGATTGGGCGTCACAATTCAATGGAACTGCGACCACTGGCAGCGGCGTTTGGCTAGCTGGCAGCTCCTGCGGTGATGACACACTAGCTGTTTCCGTTTCCTGATCCTGCAACTGCAATGGTTGTGGCTGTTGTTGCTGCTGCTGCTGCTGTTGCTGCTGCTGCTGATGCTGCTGTTCGAGCTCCTTGTCGCCGGCACAGCAGGCAGGTATGTTGGGACTGGTTGCCTGATTCTTATACTTTTGCACCTCAATGCGATCATAGTTCTTCGTGGACGTCGAGGTCGTAATGCTCAGGCAGGCCGTGGCACTGGACAGACTATCACATTCGTCGCCCTTGCCGCTGCCCGACTCGCACAGTGATTGCAGCTGCTGCGGCTCGTTTTGATAGCTCTCATAGCTATCGGAGCAGTCCATGCCAGGCGATTGCACCTCCTCGGCATAGCTCTCCGTGGAACTGCACGACAGCTCAGCGTTGTACATCGGTTGCTGTAGCGGCAGTGATTGTTGCTGCTGTTGCTGCTGCTGCTGCTGCTGCTGCTGCTGTTGCTGCTGCTGCGGCGGCGGCTGATGTGGCGAGGACTTGCGATAAGATGCATAGTTGCCGCCCGAGTTGCCGCTCGACTGATAGTTGCCGCCATTGTTGCCTCCATGCTGCAGCGCCTGATTAGGCGGCAAGTTGGACGGGTCGTAGTGGTAAATGGAGCTGCAAAGCATACAAAGGACGCCAATTAGTTGACAAATATTAACAATTCTCCAAGTTAATTGTGTTTTTGGATGCTCGCTCATTGCATGCAAAAATTGTCGCGCGTGTCTTGTATAAAGTATAATAAAGGAAAGTACGGTTGTCAGGGTTGCCACAGTTTTGCGAATAGAGTGCGCAGTGAGGGCGACGGCAGCGACAGACATTCTCTTTGATATATAAATATATATATATAGATATATATGGCGAGTATTATAAATAAATGGAAAAACAACAACAACAAATGCGAGAGAGAAAGAGAGAGAGAGAGAATGATGCAATGCAATTAGAACGAACAACAATTAGACGACAACACTGGCAGACGGCGCATTTAACAGCTAGTTAAACTGCCTGTTAACTTTCTTTGACAGAGACAACGGCAGCAGGCGATCGAAAAAAGCTGGTGAGCAGTATATATATATATATATATGAGAGCTGAGCGAGAAATGTGAGCACAGCTGAGCTATGTGTGTGGGTGGGTGTGGGTGTGTGTGTGAGTGGGCGCTATACAGGTGAGATATGGTGAGAGCGAGTGACTGCGGAGAGCTGAGAGCTGAGAGCTGTTTGGCGATTGATTGCTCAGCTCTCATTCAAAATATATTTGAGCGAGAGCGAGCTGTGATTTGATTTTGATTTTAAGGCAGATAATTTACAAAAACAACATCAACAATTGAAAGTAGCACATCGAAATGCCATTAATATAATGTAGGTATACATAAATATATAACAGGTATGCAAAAAAAAAAGTAAAGGAAGATAAATAATCAGAAATAATCTGAATTCATTTAACGCGTAAGTTGACTTTGCTTAGGTATTAATATATATGAAAAGAATAAAGAAAAACTAGTCTCGACATGCCCAACTCCAAAATACCCTAACTCTGAGCAAGCGAGACAAAACTAACGAACGTCAACAACTTAATAACATTAATAAAGCCTGCTAGACTTGAGTGTTATCAAAAGTCATTCAACAAAAATGAAATAGACAAAATATTTTAACAATAAATTTAACTATTTTTGCCTCAATGGGCAAACAGACCGACAAAGCAGAACAACCAAATAGTCCTAATATAAGCTATATGGTAAATATTTGAAAAATAATTTGCTTTAGAGTTTTTAAGATGATTTTGTTCTTATCGAAGCATTTCGAAAATTATTTTTATACAATTAACAATTAGTAAAAAATATTAAAGAAAAACAAAGCATTGCGTTTATAACAATTGGCTGCATAAATTATTATGTTGTTTTGCATTTTTTTTTTGTTTTGTGTGTTTTCGGTTTTTGTAAATTACCCGTCTGCATTGAGAATTGGTTGGAGGGTTTGCGGATCAATGAGGACGCTGCCAATTGGCACACTCGAAATGTCTGTGACGGCCCAGACGAGTCCCGATGCTGTTGCCGACGACTCTGGTGTGCAGGACGTTGCTCTTGTTGTTGTTGCTGCCGTTGCAATTGGTGTTGTTGTTGATGGCTGTTGTGGTAGCGGTGGTGGTGGCGTTGCTGCATGCTGCAGAAACGAGGCCATGCCCCGATTAGAATTGACCTGCGCCGTCGGCTGGCTGTACTCCGGCGTCTGTCTATCGCTGCCGTAGCCGGTGGGCGAGGGCGTTACGGAATCGGAGCGCACGGACTGGGTGCGTGTCTTGTAGCTGGATATATATTTTTTTTTTTGGTAAATGTTGTAGGTTGTTGGTTGGTTGTTGTTGTTGTTTTTTGGGTGGCATACAAAAATGTTTTTGTCAATTTTAACAACAGTTTTTTTTTAAAATTTTGTTTGTTATAGATAAATAAATATATATAGAGAGAGAGAGAGAAAGAGCGAGCGTATTGGGTATGGCTTGGTTGAATCTAAATTAAAAATGTGAATTACTCCGAAGGCTACTCACCCGCTGCTCGAGGGCGACAGGCGCCAGGGTGTGCTGGTGCTGCCAGTAGAGTCCTGTTTGGCAAAGCCGCTGCCGCGTCCGCTCTTGTTCGAATTGGTTGAGTCACCGCGTGGCAGCGAGCCGCCACCGGGTCCACCAGCACTCGGCGGTCCGCCATAGTTGCCAAAGTTGTGCGATTTGGGCACCGCACCACCAGAACGCATGCCGCCACCATCACGCGACTCCGTCGACTGTTCAAGGAAAGCAACAATTAGTAAAGACAGCTTCGTATTTGCCAGCGCATTCGACTCACATTCTGCATTTGCAGCATTTTGCCATTGGGGCGCTTGGGTCGAGGCGGTTGCTGCTGCTGCTGCTGCTGTTGTTGTTGTTGCTGCTGCTGCTGTTGCTGCTGCTCGACTGCATTGTGCCAACCACCGTTGCCACCGCCAGGAGCACCGCCATAGCAATCCTCATCGTAGCCATCCTGCTGGGACGTACGATTGAAGATGCGACTGCGTGCACGATCATAGTTCTCCTCGCGCTCCTCAAAGCTCTTGGCCTTGCGATCGAGCATAAGACGTTCCGGACAGAGATAGGGCGACTGACGCACCTCATCAAAACTGTGCGTATCGCGCTTTAGAATTGACTTGCGCGCATCTTCACGGTGATCAGCACGCACCAGAGATTTGAAGCGAATCTGTGGCGAATAACAGAGTTAGCATATAATTTATACATATTTATAAATCAAATATCGAATGGCTTACCTCTGGTATGCGAGTGCCTTTGGTAACGGCCACTATGACGCACTGTTGCGTCTCGGAGTCCACATTGTGATCCATGCCAAAGAAGGCAGCCGTGCGATGGATTAGCATGCGATTATACGAAGAAGACGACGGAAAGCGATACTCACAGCCACGACTGTTATGGAGGGAGATAAACACAGATTGATATAGATTGATATAGTTTGACGAATTTGATTCAACTTCAGCCCCAACACTCACCCCTTTTCCTGCACAAAGTCTATTAGATCCTTTTCAATCTTCAACAGATAGTTTCTATCCTTTGGATTCTTGTTGAGCGTGTCCCGGAAGAAGGTCAACAGATCGGTGCCACCAAAATCCGTGTATTGTTCGCTCGAGTTTTCTGATTGATGAAAGACTAGAATCAATGAACTGAGCTATGCACAATGGATTGCAGCATCCACGTTATCTGGATGCTAGTAATTACCGCGCGATATAAAGCCTGATGTGTTGTTGCTCGAATTGTTGGAGTTGCAGCCCAAGGTTTGACCATTACCGCCACAGTTGCCGTTGCCACCGCCGCCAGCACCAGCACCGCCGTCAATGCTGTTAGACGAGCTGCCCGTTAGGTTCTTCAAGCGCGGCTTGGAGCCCTTGGCATTGGTGTTGTTGGCGCGATGCTTCTTGCCACCGCCGCCCGTGCCACGCTCATAATGATATTGCTCCTCCTCGTGGTTGCTGTTGCTGAGATTGCTATTCTGGCTGGACATTTCGTGGCGTTCGTGACGCTCATGTCGCTCGGCCGCCTTATAGTTCATGCCTGAGTTGTACAGCAGTGCGGAGGAGTTCTGGTTGTTATTGTTGTTGCTGCTGCTGTTGTTATGATGCTTTTCCAGTCCGTTGGATTTCAAGTCAACCACATACTTTTTGCCATTGTTGCTGCTGTTGTTGTTGTTGTTGCTGCTGCTACTGTTGTTGTTGTATTCAATGCCAGAGCTGCCATTGCTATTGGTGCGATTATGATGACCAGCTCCAGATTTCTTGGGCGGCGACAGCTTAGGAAACTCGGACTCATCACGCAACGGCACATTCAGCGGCTGCTGCTGTTGCAAATGTTGCTGCTGCTGTTGCTGTTGCTGTTGCTGCTGCTGCTGCTGACTAGTAACAATCACAGCGGGCGTTTCCATCAGCGGCGAGTTGCCACGTCCAGTTGATTGTGCTTTGCTATTGGTGTTTATATTGCTATTGTTGTTGTTGCTTAATATGGCATTGTTGTTGTTGTTGTGCTCATGGGCATCGCTGGGGTGTTGTTGCTGCTCGGCGGCGCCTCGCGGCGTTGGCGTGCGTGGCGGCGATGTAGACTCGCGCATGGCATGGCTGCGTGTAAGATGTTTGCCCTTCATGTTGCCCTGTGTTCGGTTCATTGGAGTCGAGTAAAATAAGGAGAGTGAAAGCAATTAGTTTCGAATTAGCCACCAATTGAATGCCAAAGGTTGACAGACCGAAAGCAAAGCAAAGCAAAGCAAAGCAAAGCAAAGGACAGGACAGCACAGCACTGAGAGGAAGCTAACCCATAGAGCCAGCCAGTCAGCTCTACGTTGCGATGACGTTGCCCGACATGATGCAATTGTTGGCTCATTAAAATGTTAAGCAAATGCCAGCCCAGGCGACGTTAACGATCCCCGCACATGTGTTCAAAGCAGGCAACGAACAGGGGTGAATTTGTTGTGGGGCAACAAGAAAATCAATGCCTTATTTGCTAGATTCTTAAGATACCCTCTAGATGCTTTCTGCTATAAGTAGTAGAAGTTGGCTTTATACAGCATAAACTAAGTTAAATTTGTTAGATTGACATTACAGTAAATCCCGTCTAAAGATCCTTTCAAATCAATTTTATAAATATATAAATTTTTATAAATTTATAAATTATAAATTTTATTTTTCTAATATCTTGCAGCCCATTTTGCTTTCATCTACTTTGCACATATTTTCAAGTTTACTCATAAATCCATATCATTACAGGGTAGGTCTGAGTCGTTCACTGCTCACCCTACAACAAACATATACCTTGCCTTGCGACTGTTGCCGTGCCAGCCACATAAATCGCTTCATAGCCTGCGCTGCCATTTGACATTTAAACAAACGTCGAAGGACAACGCAGCCATATCAGTTCATCAATCAGTCAGTCAGTCTGTCAGTTGGTCAATCGGCCAATCGGCCAATCGTTTAGTCAGTTATTCAGTTAGCAAGGCAATTCGATTGGGTTTTCCACTTTCCATGCCACATTGATTTTTATGTTCACACTCAACTTCCACCTATTGAACCTCATTAATCAGTAAGTTTTTGGTAAGCTTAGACAGCAGCTGCTACTTCAACTCGCAATCAACAAAATACTTCCAATCCCAATACACGTTGCAGAAAGCAGAGCAAAGCCAATAAAGTCACAGTCAAAGCGATGAGCACACACTTACAGCTAATATACAATATATCGCCCTCTTTAAGTATACAAATCAAAAAAAAAAATAAATATATATATATTATATTTATATATTTATATATATATAAATATATAATATATATATATAAATATATATAAAGTACATATATAATGCATCTCCTATATACTTTTGTTTATATAGTTGGCGATCACGTATAAATTTTACAGTTGACAGCTTTTTTGTGTACAACTTGTTCTTATAATAATTAGTAGAAATTTAATTATAAAACTATATATATTATTAGTATATATTATAAATATATATATATGTATATATATATATATATATATATATATATATATATATTTGATTGATATATTCTTTTGTTATTGCATTTTCCCTCAAGCATTGACCACAAGTACAAGTAATCTTTCGAGCATTGAAAAGCTGCAGCCGAGGGCATTTCAATTGTCATAGAAAAAGACTTCTTAGACCATAAAATTTATATAGTTTCTTGATGACAATGATCAGATTAGTCAGTATAGCCTTGTCTTGGTATGTTTCTATGCAAACTGAGCTTTTGATAAGATGCTTTCTTGATGAAACATTTTGGTTTGGCAGGCATTTTAGAGGCTGAATTTGTCTGAATCGAAGGTCTATATAATAAAGGTCTCTAGTCTTTGTGTATCTTTAGATAGATAATATATAGATATAATTAATATCAAAGACAACTTATTATAAGACTGAAAGATATGAACGAAATGAATCCAAAATTAGTTTTTGATTGACATAAACATATCTTATTAATGTCAAACTGCTCTAACTTAGAGCTATATAGGAAAAATCGATGGCAAATTAGTTTTTATACGAAAAGTATATCTACTTAACTTGAAACTCTAAGTCTATGCTTTAAAGATAATATGCCTAATCGTATCACTTTTAAGAAAGTAAAGGAAGTATTGATTAGAACAAAACAAATTCCATCTTTTTCCAGTTTTACTTCTCATGTGTGTGTTGCCTTAGTTGCGGCCCAACTATGCAGGTGAAATGGCTTCTAACTCACGCCTTCAGTTAGAAAAGCTTAACAGCAAAAGCTTCTGCATGAACTCCTTATTGGTCATATCTGCTGCACCAGCCTTAAATCTAGCTAGCTGTCAATAGCTGAGCGGACAAGGTTAGAAAACGTGTTTAGCTATTATTTTCCTGCTCGTTTATAATTCAAATTGACCACATTTGAATAATCAAAGGGCAGACTTCGAACTTCGTGTTGGCCGACTTCCGCGAACGTCATCAAATGGCGGGAAAAATCAATAAATCGACCTTGGGCGACAGAGTCCAAACAGCAGCAGCCCGCAGCAGCAGCAGCAGCAGCAGCTGGTGCTACACAAAATTCTTTGGCATTGTTTTTATTGTTTGCCTGGTGGTTAATACAAGTTAGAAACAATTGCAATCGAACTGACTGCCCCACATGCCGCACACACACGCTTGCCCCAGCCACCCACATAAACCTTGAACTCCGCTTGTAATTGGAAAAGCGCTTGGCCCTGCCCGTCCAGGGCAGCAATCATAAAGCCATTTTCAATGCAATACTTTGACATTCACTGCAATTTGGGAATTTCCAGCAAATCGAGTTTTCCAATAGACCAGTTCCTAGAAACTGCAGGACAACACCCCACCAACCACCCGCCCACCATTGTTAACCTGACCTGACCCAGTTGTGTGCAGTTTTTGGGCGTGTATCTTTTTTGCACGGACCAGTTCCAGTTCACGGCTGCTGCACGTGCAGAGAGTCAAGAGAGCGAGATACAGAGAGAGAGAGAGAGGCAAACTCGCAGCGGGAAATGGACACACGCTCTGTGTAACTGTGACTGACCCATTTATGTATGCATTATATATATACATATCTCGATAACTATATAGTTCTATATATTTGTTGTTAGTTATGATTCTGTTTACTTACGCGTCTATTGCCAAAACTGTTTTGACGCCCCAAATTGGAAGCGTTCGATTGCTCCTCGCTGCAGTTGTTGCTGTTGTTGTTGCTGGTGGCTGCTGTTGTTGCTGCTGCTGTTGATGACGTCACGGCTGCTGTTGCACTCGTAGTTGCTGCTGCTGCTACTGCTGCTGCTGTTGCAGGTGCTGGTGACGTCGCAGAATTGTTGCTGGCAACGGCGGCGACAACAACAACGGCGGTGGCCGCAGTGGAGGTGGCTGAGGCGGAGGCTAAGTTGGTTGGAATATTTGTAGCGAGGGCTACTTGAGATTTTGTGGAACTCATAATCACAGTTTATGTAAAATGTACTGCAAAAGGAGAAACAAAAGGAAATCAAATTATTAATTGAAATTGATAAAGCTTTTGTGTATTAATAAAAATAGTATTTAACATATTATATTTATAAAATTATTTGTATAATATAGCTTAAAATATATTAGTAAATAGTAAAATTATTAATATTTAAAACATTTAGTTTGAGCATTAATTGTAAACTTAACTGCCTAAAGGGAACTGGGAAATGGGTCAATTGAAGAAACAGCTATTGAGTAAAAGTCCCGGGAAGTATTTGATCTAACTGAGTCGAAGTTCATTCAATCAGATATATTTATTAAAAGTAAAATAAAATTTCTAAACATATCGATTTTTAAAGATTAAAAAAAATATGAAGCAAGAAACCACAATTAGGAATTTAGAGTAATCACATGATAGATCGACTTTAAAATACCCTGACTACTTGTATCCAAATATGGCATAATAAACCAAAAGCGAATGATATGTATATATATAAAAATGTGGTCCGACAGATATAGATATATACTTGTATATGGTAATATATGATATTTAAACATATCTGTCTATATAGTATGTCTATCTGTCCATATGGTCTGAGATACGTATTTTACTGTCAATTTATCTATCTATATATTGAAGTTCTAGAAGTGTGCTTCAATACTGTCTAAGACAACAATCATAATTGTTTTATATAGTTAGTTCATATTTGTTAAAATAGACGTTATAATTTTATTATATTTAACACTAACAAGATTTGCTTATATTAAATGTTTATATATAACATAAATTAACTTGTCACTGATAGTTTCTTTTAGTTGCCTTTTACCTTTGCGAGTGAGAAAAACTATTGCATTTTGCTTTATGCTCCAACTTCTTTTAGTTGTTGTTGTTTTTGTCTTTTTGGTTGGTTTCATAAGAATTTTTGCGTACGATTAGAGTTTTTTCTTTTTGTTTTTATTTTGTACGTATTTATTCTGAGTTTTTTCTTATATTTTTATTGTTTTTGTTTTTTTTATAATTTCAAGATTAAAATCATATTTTCATTGTCCAAAAATATGCCGGCAGTGCAGTTGATAGTATATTTAAAAAAATCTGTCTACGGCTTTTTCCTTTTTGAGCTGCTATGCCACAGGTTTTTAGATTGATTTTTTATAATTTGTGCGACTAAAGTTAGTTAATAGTTTAGTTTATACTCGCTTATAGAGACAAGGCTTAGTTTAGTTTAGTTTAGATATATATCTATATATATATATATCTCTATATATATATGTGTGTATATAGTATAAGTATAGTTATTGTTGTTGTTGATTATTTAGTTTGGTATTTTTTATATTTTCGTTAAAAAATGATGTAAAACGAAAAAATATAGAATCGAAAACACAATTTACTGAGATTTTTGTTTTGCTTTTGTAGTTATTGTTTTTTTTTTTTTTTTGCTTTTTTTGTAATTGCATTAAAACTTTTATAACGTTGTTTATCACATTTACACCATATCACCGAGAATCACAAACTGCCTTTAGGTATTTAGTTTATTTCTGTTGGTCTCTGCACTTTGCGAAGTTTTCTCAATTAGAATTATTATTAGGGGTTTTTTGTTCTTAAAGCTTACAGCTAAGTCATTAATAACTAGTCCTTAGAGTTTATGTATAGTTGTATACTTTAAAAATATTATTTAGTTAAAGCTTTTCTTTTGGTTGTGATTCTTATATTTTTGCTTGATTTTTATCTTCTTTCCGTTGATTTTCTTCTTCTTTTATTTGGTATTTGTTCTTCACTTTCTGTTGTCTATGGAGTAGTTCAGGTTATGTGAGAATTTCTTTGATTTGTTGTTTGTGGCACACATTTTGCTGCAAGTTGAGTAGCGATTCAATAAAAGTTGAGCGATTCAAAACTTTTCAGAGAGCGCGAACTTTTTTGTGTATGTATCTGTGTAGGCAATACATACACACACGCAAACACACAGGCATACACGCACATGGAATGTGACCTTGTTTACGATTTATTTTGATATTCAAAAACGTCGAGAGCAGTGTAATTGAAATGCGTGTGCCTTTGCCTGCCCCAGGATACGAACTAAAAGCGCCGCATACAGCGGCCAAGGGATGCTTTCTGCACACATAACAAACTTCGTCTCTCTCTCTCTCTCTCTTTCTCTCTCACACAGCGCGTTTCTCGCTCCCTCTTTGCATATATATCTCCTCTTTCACTGTGGAGTCTTTGACCAGTTGTTTTTGTTATTGTTATTCCTTCTAGCGAGTTCGTTGTCATAATTATGGTAATTTTTGATTGCTACAAGTTTTCTATTTCTTTTTTTGGCATAGTTTAGGTAGCGAATCCCTTAGAGGGTTGATGAACGATAAAAATGAAGGTTAAATAGCTCTAGATATAAAAGATAACTTTTTTGAGCGAAGAAGAGCGAAAACTTTTGTGAATTCATTAAGAATAGAAGTTGAAGACATTTAATTATTATTTTCCACAGTAAATTTAAGAAATTTTACAAAATTTATAAAGTAGAAGAAATTGGTAAAGATTGCATATAAAAATAATTTAAATTACTTTTAATTTCTCATTATTTGCCTTCATATTAAGACAAATCTCATTAAAATCTCTATCAATTACACCTCAATTTCTTTATTGCCCTTGCTCGGAACATAGATGAAATAATTAACGAAACCCCGTAAAAATAAATCGTAATGTTTACGCAGGGGCTCCCTTCTCGCAGAAAATCCAATTCTGAGACGCTGAGTAAACAAACAGACGAATTGCATTGGGTGAACATAAAACGCAAAAGCGAAATATGAACAAGTCAAAAAGGCACAAATGGATACCCATTCTCTATTGTTAAACCCAAGCCAAACCCACTTGTCATGCCATTCCTTGTTTTCTTCATACAAATGTATTTTTTGCATTTGTGTGTTTGGGAAATACCCGCGAAATGCCAGCATGATTTGGAGAAAGGCAAGCCACAAAGTAGAGGGCAAGAATAAGACGCGAATACAGGTGATAAATGGATGACGTAGTCGCCCGTAATAATAAACACGCATACGCCGTGTGGCACACAACCAAGAAAATGAAAAGAACAAGTCACCGAAAAGCAAAAGAAACAACATTTGCCCATTGCAGTGACAGCGACGAAGAAGACGCGGAAAAAACTTTGCCCGAAATGCATGTGCTCAACGTTACCCTGTTCACAGTTATTCCAATTCTCTGCTCCCGCTTCGGCCCATGCCAACTGTTTACAGCAGCTGTCGCTGTCGCCGTCGCCGTCTCAACATACTCGAAAAGCTTTGGCACAGGCCACACGCTGTACTCGAAATTGTGTTGCGGCTGTCAGAGTTTTATTCTTCTTGTTTCTTTTTTAGTGTTGTAAAGAGCGCAAGCGTTCTAAACGCCTGCGCTTGCGTGGGAGAGAGAAATACAGATGAGAGAGGAAGTAAATGCGAGCTGTTAGTGCGTGCATCTTATTAAATGTGAGCCAACAGGAAGTTTGCCGCGTTGCATTGTTAGAGCAAAAGGCCCAGAAATCTTTCAAGTTATTGCTTGTTTATACTATGACGACTATTTCGATAGTTGAGAAAAGAAAAAAACTGCGTCATTTGGCTAGGGCTAAAAATTTTACAGGGCTTCACAAACGCTAACACATTACAAGCAAGAACAACAACAACAAAGAGCGCCAATCGGTGGTTCGGCTATGGGGCGAACACACACGAACATCGACCCGAGCGCGACATGAAATTGAAACGAACGCGTGTATGCGCGCCTATGTGTATATGTGTGTGAGTGAGTTTGTTGTGTGAAAAACGTGTGTCGCTGTGTATGTATAATACACCAAAAAGTCAATGCAAAAAAAGGGCAAAGAGAAAAATCATCAAATTTGAAATGAAAATTCCGCTGGCATTTTTCACGCGACAAAAATCACAAAACAAAAAATGTGGAAAAGGCGGCGCACAACACAAAATATTTTCCTGCTTTGCTTTGCACTGTTTTTCTGCTTTGCACTTTTTATATATATTTAAACACTGCGCCGGGCTTTCTTTTCCTGCATACACATAAAAGTATGTGCATATATATACATGCATATACACACATATATATACATATATTACGTACGTTTGTGTGTGTATGTATATGTGTAGATATATGATATACGTTGCACGCACTATTTAATGTCTCCTGCTTTCGTTTTTCTCATGTTGTTGCTGTTTTATTAATTGCTACGCGCGTGCCATTTTCGTTATTGTGTGTGTGTATGTTTCCACACTATTTTCCGAACTGTATTTTGTTGTATTTTTGTATGCTTGATATTTTCGTATTTGTTTTTAGCTTCATCAGCGCAAACTAATTCATTTTCTCTTGCCTTCGCCCGTTTGCTTCATTGTGAAAATGTATTTTTAAGCTGCTGCTCCTCTGCTGCTGCTGCTGCTACTGCTGCTTCTGCTTCTACTGCTGCTGCTGCTGCTGATGACAATGACAAAGTTGACGACGGCTGCGACGAATAGGACGACGGCGACGAGCGCTGCGCTCCGCTGGCAGACATTATGGGAACACGACCGAATGGATACTGGGCCACCGCATGCGAAAAGGCCGTCAGAAAAGCAAAAGCATCGCTCAGGCTGGGGCACACACACATACGCACATGCACTCTCTTTCGCGTGGCGCTCGCTCTCTCTCTCTGTCCTCTATTTGTGCTGAGTGCATACACCAAAAGGGTGGCAAGGTAACTGTAAGAGCGCGCGTTCTCTCTCTCTATCTTCTGCGAGTCCGAGTGCGTAAAAGCTTTGCGAAAAAACAGGTTAAAGCATGTGGCCCCCGCGACCCGCTAACAGTCACTACCTTTACTCTCTCTCTCTCTTTCTCTGTCTTTTACTCCTTGTCTCTTTTTGCTTACTTTAGTGTATTATGCCCCAGAGCCAAAATGCGCACGATTTGCTTTTGGGGTGGCATTTCACATCGCTGTGTTGTCCTTCCTGCGTGCGTGTATTTTGTGCAGTATTTGCTGTTATTGTTGTAGTTG